TAATTACGAGAGAGAGAGAGAGAGAGAGAGAGGCATCCACTCAATTAATTCCCTTCCCGGATATACCCTGCCCGGTATAATCCTCCTCCAACCCCGTATTTTCAACAACGCCGTCCGTTCCCGTGAAATATTCCCTTCCGCGCGCGTTTCGAGAAGAACTTCGCCAGAAGACCTTCCTCCTTTCTTTCATTTCTGGCCGGCAAACAAGCGACCCTTTAAACACCGCGTAGCTACGCGAACAAGACGATGACAAGCGAGGACGAGCACGAGGAGGAAGAGAAGGGCGGAGGTGGCGTTAAAAAGTTTTCGAATAAAAGTTTAAATACGCCCGGGCGAACTTTGTTTCGTAGCCTTTGCAACCCCGCCTTGCTCGTCCACCCTCGTCCTCGTAACAATATGGCCGGGTCCTACAACCATCTTTGCCGAGTTAAGAACACGCTCTCCCTCCTCTCTCGTGTAGCATCCTCGCGCGCATAGTAGAAAGGCACGCCTCTGTACAACGGTGTTTCCTTTCCTTTACCTACGTGGCAACAATCGCGGCCAACCCCGTATTTCATCCGCCGCACACCTTTCGAGGCCCTTGTTTCCCCTTTTCTTCCATTCTCCTCTTATTTTTCCTCTCCAACTTTCCGCGTATAACTCGTTGAAAATTTCAGGGTTTCAACGCGCCAACCTTCTCGCGGCAACAACCGTGAAAAATTCGCGCGACAGCGATCGTGGATCATTCCGCTTTTATCCTCCTCCCCTCTTCTATCCATCGCGCGGATTTTAAATGGAAAAGTTCGAAGGGAAACGGTTCGACTCTCCTCCTCTTCTTCTTTTTCTTTCCGCGGGGCAGAAAGATCGGGCCCGGGCTTATTAAACGAGAGGATCACCGAGAGCTAAACCGGAGAAATTAATTCCGGCTAAGAAGGATCGGGGGGTGATCTTGGCCGGCGGCTGGATCCGCGAACAGACGGAGGGATCGGTCGGGACTAATTCAATTGAAAAGCGGAGAGAAGTGATTCGAATCGGACCTGATCTCCCGCGCGATATACCATCGATTGAATCGCGAGCGAATCGATGGGTTCGGCCAGTTTAACGGCCAGTTGTTCCCA